AACCTAGCTCTTATTCAAGCATCTCCCAGTTTTGTTAAGGATCTCTGATAGTTAGCTCATCTACTCATTTAAAACCATCTCTCTTTAATTATTCTTTAATTTAGCCATCTAAAATGTATTAAGCTGCAGGACTGGGCTGGTACATTACTACATGATGGGCCTAGAAAGATGAATAAGCGATGGTCTGTGCCCTCAAGGAGGTAACAATTCTTTTGGGAAGAGGTGAAGCCAAACCAAACCCATTGAGAGAGTCAGTTTCAACTCCGGGCAACCCTGTGTTTTACCAGTGGAACTGCTCCATAGGATTTTCTTGGTTGTAATGTTCACGGAAGTAGATTAGCAGGCCTTTTTTCGTGGTACCCTTGGATAAGTTCAAACGGCCAACCTTTGGGTTAGTAGTTGAGCCCAGACTGTGCCACCTAGGAGCCTAGTGGAGTGAGATGATGTTGTTAGGTGCCCTTGAGTCAATTTCAACTCACAGCAGCCCATGTGACAGAGTAGAATGCCCCATAGGTTTTCAAGGCTGAGTCTTTGTGGGAACACATCTCCATGCCTTTTTCCTATGGCACATTGGATAGGTTTGGACCACCAGCCTTTTGGTTGGATAAAAATGGGAAATGTGAGAATTGTTCTATAGGTCTGTACAAATGATATTGAGGAAGAGGAGGCCCGTGGCTAAGGAGGGAGTTGGGAGGTAGTCTTTACACTATAGCTGGTATTTGAACTGGCCTTTAAGTTTTGGTAGAGGTTACTTGAGTGATTGGGGGGGTGGTTAGGGGAAGGCTGGGGTGGGATGGCACCCCAGGCAGAGCAAACCACATAGAGGCACTGAGCAAAAAGCACAGAGGCATTGGGAGATCTGTGTGGTGCCTTTTGGAAAAATGCAAGTAGTTGTTTGTGGTCCGCATACAATGTGTGTGGGAAGGAGCTTGCAGGAAACAGTGTTGAAGAGAGGTTAAAGGGTGACTGCAAAAGCCTTTGTGCAGCCTACTAAAAAGTTTTAGTTTTATTCCCTAGGAGAGAGCTGAGGGAAGAGGGATAAAGGGGCAGTGGGAGAATTCCCCTTTTCTATGTGGGGGACCTGAGTTTGGTTCTTGGCCAGTGCACCTCCTTGCAGACCTCATCTGTCACTGGGGCCTGTGTGTTTCCATGATGTTGGACAGGTTGCAGCAGAGCATCCAGACTAAATAGACTAGGAAGAAAGGCCTGGCAATCGACTTTTGCGAATCAGCCAGTTACAAGCTGATGGATCACAATGGTCTGATTGATGACTGGCCATGGGATGGTGCAGGACTGGGCAGCATTTTGCTCCACTGTGCATGGGGTTGGCACGAGTCAGAACCCAACTCCGTGGCATCTGACACCACCACCACATGATAGCACATTATCAGCAGGGGAGTAATGGGATCTGTTTTATGAAAGTACTGCAGGATGAATTCGAGGGGGTATGTGTGAGATGGAGAGTTCTATTATAAGATGATTGTGATTGCCTGGCAAGAGAGGATGAGGGCCTGAATGAGCCAGAAAAGACAGGAAAAGGGGAGACTTCACCAGAGGCCTTGCAGGAACAATTGATAGGACTTGACACTAACTCAGAGTATGGCTGAGGAAGAAGCAGGAGGTCAGGTTGCCTGCCAGCTTGTCAGTTTGTGTGATTGAGGCATTGATGATGCCACTTACTGAAGTAGGAAAAATGGTAGAAGGGGCAGGCGGGCTTTGAGGGGAATGACGGGTTCAGTTTGAGAGATCTCGATATCGAGCATGGCATGGGGGTTTAGGAGGTGGAGAGGTCACAGAGTTTGATCCCTCTGTCATTTGATAGATCTTCAAATGTGCAAGTTTTCATTTCTGAACGGATAGCAGAGTAGACTAGTGTCTTAAACTGACAGAGAAAGGTTAGGAGAAAGCTCTAGGTAAAAAAGTGACTTGAGATAATAATGTTGTTGTTGTTCTGTGCCGTCGAGTCGGACCCAACTCATAGCGACCCCTCCTTGAGTTTCCAAGGCAGTATCACTACAGAAGTAGATTACCGCATCTTCCTTCTGAGGAGTGGCCGGTGGGTTTGAACTGCCAGCCTTCTGGTTAGCAGTCAAGTGCCTTAGGCACTATGCTACCAGAGCTCCTTGAGATAATAATAGGTAATATAAACTCTTACTCTGTTTTCAGTCACATAAATCCTCGCTGCCATTGAGTCGATTCTGACTCGTAGGGAACCTTTAGGAAAGAGTGGAACTGCCCCATAGGGTTTCCAAGGCTGTAAATCTTTACAGAAGCAGGCTTGCCTGTTTTTCTCTTGTGGGATGGCTGGTACATTTGAACCACCAACCTTTAGGTTAGAAGTTGAATGCTTTAACTACTATGCCACCACAGCTCCTATTTCTATTACAACATATGATAAAGGAAACAGAGGCTATGGAAAGATTAAATGGCATGTCCAATGTCAATTGGAATTTCAAACCCAATGCTTTTGATCCAGTGGCTTCCCATTGCATTATGATCAAGACCATGGTCTTTAAAATGGCCATTAAGACTCACTATGCTCTGGCCCATCCTACCTTTGTGTTCTTCATCACATACTACTTTCCCTTCCTTGAATATATCCTATTGCCTTTCTTCACCTTAGGATTTGCTGCTTTTTCTGATTACAATATTCTTATTCAACCCTTCTGATTGCAGCTCTCTTGGAGTAGGTTAGGCATCCCTGAAATAGGGTTTTATGGCAATTTGCACAATTCCTTCCTACCACTTATTACACTATGCAGTTACATATTTATTTCTCTGAGCCAGATGGCTGCTGGTTCAAACCCACCAGCCACTCCTCGGAACAAAGACTGGGCAATCTAATTCCATAGAAATACTGCCTTGGAAACCCAAGGAGGGGTCGCTATGAGTCAGAACCGACTTGATGACAGTGAGTTTTGTTTTTTTTGTTTGGGTTTTGAGTTGATTAATATATGTCCTCTTTGCTTAGTTAACTGTGCCACAGAGTAGAGATGGTGTCTGTTTTCCTTATCAGTGTATCTCTACCATGTTGTACTGAAAAGAACAAACTCATTGTGGGTTGATTCCAACTCATGGTGACCCCACATTTCAGAGCAGAACTGGGCTCTGTAGAGTTTACAGTGGTTGTTCTTACGGAAGTAGGTCACCAGGCCTTTCTGTCCTGGTACGGCCAACCTTTCCATTAGTTGTTGTGTCTAAACCATTTGTGCCAATCAGGAACCTAGCACAGCACACAGTATCTGGCAAAAAGCAGAGATTAATACCTATCTGTTGAATGGAAGAATGACATCAAAGCTCCAGGCTCTTAACCATTCTGCCATGAATGAGATGTCTTAGAATATTCTGTTTAATAGAAATACACATTTTCAGTATAACTGTGTGTAATGATGATCACTGAAAATACATCATACAAAAAGAGGACTCATAATTCATTGACACTAGACTCTGAGCTTTGATATTGAAAACTGGCTAAACAGACTATAAGAAATTAAAAAGCGGAGAAACTAAGAGTAGACATTACTTTGAAAGGTGATAATGATAGGAAAATAGGAAAGAATTATTATAAGTGGAAAAAGAATTCAAGGTAATTAAAAAATATATATCAGGTTAATAGATTTCCTGCCTGTGTAACAGACTAGGAAGGAAGGCCTGGAAGTCTGCATGGAGCCAAGTAGAAGGAGAACACATAGCCTCAGATCTAATTAAAAAGGGCCAGAGTCCTTTGCTAGTACATAGCTGACCCACTTGGTAACTTTTATTAGGTTTACAGTGTGTTCTTGACTTTAGAAATGAGGATAATAATACCAAAAACCAAACCCACTGCCACTGAGTCAATTCTGACTCATAGCGACCCCCATTGTGTTTCTGAGGCAGTAAGTCCTTACACAAGTAGATTACCCTATCTTCCTTCCATGGAGTGGCTGGTGGGTTTGAACTGCCAACCTTCTGGTTAGCGATCAGATGCCTTAGGCACTGAACCACCAGAGCTCCTTGAGGATAATAATAGCTAGTCTAATTTTACTCTGAACTATATAGTTCCAGGTTCTTATCCTGTTTTAGGCCAAAGATTCCTTTGGCAGTGTTGTGACGCCTGAGGACCCATTTTCAGAATCTGTATATATTTAACAGGAAAAAATAAAACAGTGGATTACAAAGGAAATTTTGTATTTACAACATAAGAGCTGTTGAGCCCCCATTGATCAAAGAGTACAGTTCAGACATTCAAAGAGAGCCTGACGTTCAAAATTTTTCTCCCCATTTTTGGCAGCCTTTGAGGATCCCTGCCTAAAGAAAGACCCGTAACATCAGTTGGGTTGTTGAGTGGTGGTACTCTATCATTCCTTCTGTATTTATTAGAAATTCTTTGACATGAAATGTTCTCTTGTTAAGTCTTTGGTTCATTCTTTATTTTGTGTAAGAAAGCTAAGATAGATACTGGATTCCCATCAGTTTTCTGAATAGAGTTGAGTATCTTAACCTCCTACAGAAGTGATCAATGAATTTTGCTTAATTATAAGTTTTCAGATTTTATCCTATGTGATATGTTTCAAATCATTCATTACTATTGTTATGATTCACAGACTGTCTGATCTTTAGCCAATAAAAAGCTATTTCAAGTTAGCCTTGCGTCTTTTTGACCACCTCAGTAGTATTTCATTGCTTCTGTGCTAGCAAGTATGACATCTTCTAAGCTCATCTTGTGCACTTGATAATTTAGTTGCCCTGTGGCTTCCTTATCTTGAATCATTCCTGTCCTGAAACTGGAATTAGCCACTTTATAGTGTAATTTCTCTGTATCCTATTTAGTGGGCTTCTGTTTAGTGACTATGGCACGATTACGAAAAGGAAGGGCAAATATTTATAGTAGTAGTAAATTTTAATAGGTGGTAAATCATAAAGATTATATAATGAAAATCATTAAAGTTTTGGTTGTTAATCCTGAGTAGATGTTGCATAAATCCTTGTTAACCAACCAGTTTGTATTTTTCTTTCCCCAGTTAATGTCCATCAGTGTGCTGGCAGTTTCTGCTTGGATGAGGGACTACCTAAATAATGTTCTGACTTTAACTGCAGAAACAAGGTAGGCTTCATAATTAATGATTCATTTATCTTTCATTAGGCTTTTTCAGATCTGTTTTTTAAGTAACTTTGCCCTCAGCTGTTTAGGTGGGAGCGCCATTCCATCATCATTTGGGAAGTTGTTCCTGCCCATGGGTACCTTTCTTGTGGACACTTGCGTTTTCTAGCATTCTCATGAAGGTGTGTCATATGGCCTTGGAAACCCAAGGAGGGTTCTCTGTGAGTTGGATCCGACTCGACGGCAGTGAGTTTGGTATTGGTTTTGGTTTACTAACCCACCAGCCACTCCTCGGAAGGAAGATGGGGCAATCTACTTCCGTAGTGATACTGCCTTGGCAACCCAAGGAGGGGTCACTATGAGTCGGGTCTGACTTGATGGCACACAACAACAACAACAACAACAGTCTTAGAGAGGGGCAGAGGGCAGCAGGTTTCTAAGTACATTTCTGGGTGTGGGAACACCAGGCACCTGTACTCTTGACTATGTGTCCTAGTGTCATATTTGTGCATAAAGGCTAGCTGTTTATTTCCACTATTTTTCTCTGAAAAATCATTATCAGATTATTTTTACCTTGATAATTCTGGCATATTGAAAACCAAACATTCTCTTATTTAGTTGCAAGAGTTGGTCCATGAACATCACAAGGGGCAGATGACTTAACTTCTTTTAGCCTCAGTCTGTTCATCTCTGAATGGCAATTGTAATTTATATCACTTTGAATTAGCTACATTTCTATAAAGCCCTTAACACAATGGAGCTGAGTATGCCACTAAGAATGGAATTTTTTTGTTATTCTTATTACTCTTACTCCCATGTTGATGGTTCTTCAAAATGAATTTTCCACAAGGTCCAAAAATCATCTCTTTCCTTTCCTCTTTCTTTTAAGAAACAGATTTTCCTCTGCAGAGCAGCCTCCCATGTTTTTGGGGAGGACCAGTTGTCAGGGAGAAGGAAGGGGCTACACATGGCGTCCCAAATCAGAAGAAGAGGGACATTCCTCTCAGCTGGGACATAGCAAAGGTCTCATACTTTACTCAGGCTGGGATTTCAGAGCTAACAGTAGATCCACTCCTTATAGGAGCCCTGGTGGCACAGAGGTTTAATGTTTGACTACAAACCAAAAGGTTGGTGATTCAAATGCACCAGCTACTTCACAGGAGAAACGGGGCAGTCTGGTTCTGTAAAGATTTACAGCCTTGGAAACGCTATAGGACAGTTCTACTCTGTTCTATAGGGTTGCAATGAGTAAAACTCGATGGTGGTGGGTTTGGGATTCTTTTGGCTATCCTATATTTTAAATGGGTTGATAGGGATGTGGAGTGAGCTCAAGGGAGTTCAGGACTGACCATAGAAAAAGATATCAATGACCCTGAGGTAGCAGCTTTGCACAACAAACTGTTTATTTGGGCTGAGGACATATAGAGGGTAGTCTCCCACAAGTCTTACAGAGTCTAGCTGAGCACTCGGAGCCAGCAGAACGGAAGAGGGAAGGAAACTCCTAGCAAAGAGGAGAAGGGAGGGTGGAATAAGGGGTGGGTGGAGGGAGGCAAAGGCTTGTGTAAGCCGTGGCCTTCTGTAGCAAGGAAGAGAGTCTGTGTCTGAGAGCTCCATGGACAGCAGCAACTCAGGACCCTTATAACTACAGGCTTTTATCTTATCTAAGGCTAGCAGATGTTGAATGCAGTTTCATGGGGCATGCCAAACCGGCAGGGCTTAGCTGGTAACAATCTGCTTATTTGGGCTATTTTTAAAACAATGGGATGTGCAAAAATTTGAGTGTGGCCCTAGCATGCTTTTTGGGCTAACAAGCCCAGCCTGTTCTGAAGAAATAACTTGTGGTCAGTACACAGAGTCCATCTTTGGCTCATTTACATAACAGAGTTCTGCCACTTGTACGGAAAAATCAATCATACAAAAACAAAAATAAGAGGCGCAAGCAAAAACACAAAAACATAATGGTATAGTTATTTTGAAAACAGCTGTCCCAGCTTTGAGGCATGATGATGTAAAGAGTTACTAATAACAGATCACGGTTTTTTCTTGTGCTATGACTTGGGCATATTCTGACTCCGTTTTTGTTTGTAATGCAATGTTGTTCTTTCAGGGTGGAGGAGGCTGTCATCTTGACCTACTTTCCTGTGGTGCATCCTGTTATGATTGCTGTTTGCTGTTTCCTGATCATTGTGGGGATGTTAGGATATTGTGGAACAGTAAAAAGAAACCTGTTGCTTCTTGCATGGGTATGATGTTTCTATCTTCCCTTTATTATTGTTAAAAAGACCAACCAGTAATGTGTTATTTTCTATAAGACACATGGTTAGGGGACTGTGATCCAAAAAAACCTGCTGCCATTGAGTCAATTCCAACTCACAGTGACCCGGTAGGATAGAGTAGAACTGCCTTATAGGGTTTCCAAGGCCATCATCTTTATGGATGCTGACTGCCGCATCTTTTTCCCACAGAGCAGCTGGTGAGTTTGAACTGCCGATCTTTCAGTCAGCAGCCTAGTGCTGAACCACCGCGCCACCAGGGCTCCCTGGGGACTGTGATAGCGGTCTTCTAATCTAGGGGTAATTGTTCAGCATCCTGTGACAAGAGAAGTGTTCTTTCCATGAAAGATGATTTCAATACAAGTATTTCCTGTACTCAGACTGTGAGGGATGGAAACGTGCATGTTATTTAATTATTTCACTCAGGGCTACAAGTTAAAATTTCTGTTTGAAAGCCTGAACTCTTTCCAGTCTCAGGGGCCTTATAACCACTCTAAAAGACCCTGAAGACTAGAATTTAGAAGTCATAATGGAACTATGTTTCATTTTTCTTTTGTTTAAAACAAACCCACTATAGAAATGCATGTAGAAATCCAGGTGGTGAGGTCATCGGACATGGTCCTGGCCCTGCCTTTACACAGTTTACTGGGTACAAGCAAGCAGTTTCTATAATCTTACTGTTTTTAATTCTAAAAGAGTTAGACTAAGTTATGTCTTAAATTCCCTATGGCACCCAAATTCTCATTCTGAAATCTGTGATTCATTAAAAAATTAGCAAAGTTTTTAACCTTAAAAATTTGTGTTAATTGAAAATGCAGCTTACATACTAATTTTGAGAGGAACATGACTGTATGATATACTGTGTGCTCATGGTACCAGCTAGTGAGGCTAACACATTATTGCAGACACGTTATTGGTGTTTTGTGCCAGTGAGTCAATTTTGACACACAGCGACCTGAGAGGGCAGAGTAGAACTGCTCCATAGGGTTTCCTTGGCTGTAATCCCTACAGGCTCAGATTGTTGGGCCCTTTCTCCCCTCCGTGGAGTGCCTGGTAGGCTCAAACTGCCAGGCTTTTGTTTAGCAGCCAAGTGCTTAACCATTGTGACACCAGGGCTCCATTGAGGACACAAGACTCCCGAAAAATTAATTCTGTACGCATAATCCTTTCTTTGCCTTAATTTTTAACCCTGGCTGCATGTTAATTTTACACAAACCAATATCAAACTCAGTGCCATCCAGTCAATCCCGACTCCTAGCAACCCTCATGGGAGCTCTGGTAGCATAGTGGCTAAGACACTTGCCTGCTAACCAAACGGCTGGCAGTTCAAACCCACCAGCCACTCTTCGGAAGGAAGGTTGGGCAATCCTACTTCTGTAGTGATACTGCCTCGGAAACCCAAGGAGGGGTCGCTATGAGTCGGGTTTGACTCGACGGCACATAACAACAACAACAAAGCGACCCTCATTGGGTTTCCGAGGCTGTAAATCTTTATGGAAGTAGACTGACCCACTTTCCTTCTGTGGAGCAGCTGGTGGGTTTGACCTGCTGACCTTCTGGTTAGTAGCCAAATGCCTTTTTCACTACACCACCAGAGCGCCTTAAAATTTTACATAGAAACTTAAAAAAAAAAATTATCTACTGGTAACCTGGCGCTCTGGGGGAGGAAAAGCGCTGATTGTTACATTTGAGGGTTTCCATGGAGTCAATTCTCCCAGCATGGTCAATTTCAAACTACCAGCACAACATTACTGACTGTGGGTTGGAGCTGGGAAGAGATGAGCATAAATCAACTCCCAGGAGCGGCTCCTGCACACCAGTGCTTGACTGGCTCCTGCCCGGAGCCAATTAAAGCAGAATCTTGGTGTGAGGCTGAACTAAGGCTTTGAACTTCACAGCAACAACCGGTGCTGATGCATTACTAAGCTGCTTTTAGGATAGCCCTTGAGGCCCATGAGTGGCAAACAAAATGCCCTAGAAAACAAACCACGCTCAGAGAGGGGGAGCATGTCCACTGTCTTCTTTCTTTCTCTATGGGTACCCAGTGAAAAGGAGAACAGTGGAAGGTTTTGAAATCTTTCCAATGTAAGCTATTGGGGCAATAATTTAAATACACACTAAGGGACTTTCTATGAAAGTTCTGTAATTTGGATGGATGGAAATATATTTCAGACTTTTAAACAAAATCTATGAATTCTTTCTGAAAAACACAATCTTAAAAAAAAAAAAACAAAAAACAAACTGCCATCTAGTTGATTCTGACTCATAGTGACCGTATAGGACAGAGTAGAACTGCCCCATTGGCTTTGCAAGGAAGCAGCCGGCCTCATCTTTTACCTGTGGAGTGGCTGGTGGGTGCATACTGCCACCCTTTTGGTTAACAGCCAAATGCTTTAACCACAGTGCCACCAGAGCTCCTTAAAATAGTATCCCATTTATACAACCAATTTAAGTGTGACTGTTATTCTGCCCCCTTCTTACAAACTTGTACCACTCTGGATGGATCCTGGTTGAGAGACTAGGGTAAGGCAGAGAGTAGGGGTACTTTGTGTAACCACAAATATTTTTAAGAAAATCATTGATTCATTTTGCTAGCTGATTAAATGCTAATAGAGTAAGGTGACAAAGTCATTTGGACTGCTATTGGAAGGCAGGATGAGCCATAGAGTCTTGTGAACAAAGTCTGGTTTGTGATGCTGTAAAGAGCCTTATGATACAGAGGTGACTAGGGGACACTTACTCATTTATTCTTCAAACACTTATTGAGCTCGTATGGACTACTGGTTATTGCCCTCATCCTAGTGTGGGTGACAGACAGACAATGCAACTACTCTTTGATAAGACCTGGAATAGGGTTTAGGAGCTCTGGTAGCATAGTGCCTAAGGCACTTGACTGCTAACCAGAAGGCTGGAGGTTCAAATCCACTAGCCACTCCTTGGAAGGAAGGTTGGGCAATCTACTTCTGTAGTGATACTGCCTTGGAAATCCAAGGAGGGGTCGCTTTGAGTGGGGGCCGACTCGACCACACATAACAACAACAACAACAACATGATGGGGTTTAAGTGGGTGCAGTGAGGCCAGAAAGGAGGAGCTCTGAGCTCGGCCCCAAGGTCACTGCAGCCTCTGGGAGGATGATGTGTATACTCAGTAGTACTTTTTCCCGCCATCCCCTTTGCTTGTTGATCCCTCTCTTATATGAAGCATCTTTTTGCACCATGCTCTTCTGGGTGTCTGTGGCTGCCTGTCTGCATCTTGATTGTTCTTTCCTGTTGACAGCCTGTGGGAGCTCATCCTCCATTCCCATTTGGCTGCCTCTCTTCTCCTGGTAAGTTTCTAAGCTTTCTCAGTCTAGACTCAGCTCAGCTTCTCCATTGCTATAGGTTGATCTGTGGTCTCTGCTCCCAGTTACCTATCAGCCCATATGCATTTAAATTTTTTTTTTTTTTTAATAATTGTGCTTTAGGTGCAAGTTTACAGAGCAGTTTGTTGTACATTCAACATTACGTGTGCATTTAGTTTCACTCCCCATTTACCATCCCCAACCCTAACCCAGACTCACTCCTCCCCTCCCAGCCCAAGAACAAACCCACCTCCCACCGCCGTTATGCACTCCTGTGTATCCTGCATTTCCTCCGTGGGAATGTTGCCCCTCTGGTACCCCGGGGTCAATTGCTCCAAAGGATGTATTTCCATAGAGGATGTGGGTGCGTCAGCTTCTCAGGGCATTTCTTCTCTGACTTCCTTTCTAAAGCTCCTACCTCTAAAATTTGCCAAGCCCTGTAGTTTCTGGTTCTATAATCTTGGGAACCCGCCCCATCTTTTCTATTCTCTTTTGGAATGCCCAGGTTCAGGCTGTCCTGCTGTCTTGGTCAGTCAGGTGCTTCTCTTCTTTTCCTCTAGTGTACCCAAAACCAATGCTGCTAGATTGATCAAATGCAACCATGATCATATAACTCCTCTGTTCCAAGACTTTGGGTAATGAAGTATTTGTGGCATAGTGCCTGAGGTGTTTGACTGCTAACCAGAAAGCTGGTGGTTTAAACCCACCAGCCACTCCTTGGAAGGAATATTGGGCTATCTACTTTTGTAGAGATACTGCTTCAGAATCCCAAATAAGGGTTGCTATGAGTCGGAACCAACTCGATGGCAGTGCGTTTTTTAGGAGCTCTGGTGGCGTAGTGCCTAAGGCACTTGACTGCTAACCAGAAGGCTGGCAGTTCAAACCCACCAGCCCCTCCTCAGAAGGCAGATTGGCCAATCTACTTCCATAGTGATACTGCTTCTAAAACCCAAGGAGGGGTTGCTGAGTTGGATCTGCCTCGATGGCAGTGAGTTTGATTTTTGGTTTTAATATATTCATTGACGTACTGTCAGCTCACTTAGGCTTGTCTGAAATGCTACCTCTTGAAATGATACTAATGATGATGATGATGAAAAGAGTTACCATTTCTCTGGTGCTTACTGTGTGCTAGACCCTGTTTTAAGAGCTTACCTTGAATTAATAAATTTTATCCTTTTGGTGATTCTAATGAGATAGACGCCATTATTATTCTCATAATAGAGATGAGGAAATGAGGGAGAGGAGGTTAGTTGACTTGCCTGAGCAATTCAGACCACGGGAGTTCGGTTCCAGACAACCTATTTGTAACAATGTCACTGTTTATTTTACCTCTGTGATTGATTGCTGCCTTTTCCAAAGTGCCTATTGACATGTCTTACATTATATAAAACATTTTTTCGTATGATCTTTCATTTTAAACCTGACAGTGATTCTCTGACCTAGCTGATAATTATAATAAAAGAAGCTCAGAGAGCGTCAGTAATTGTCCAAGGTCACTCAGCAATAGTTGGTAGAGTTCATATTCAGACCTTGGTTTTTCTGAGTACCACGCCCATGTGCTAATTGGGCTTTTACTGTTGTCTCTACCAGACTCTTCTCAATTTTTGAAGTGTGTTGCTCTTATTACAC